AACTAACAGCTTCCGAAACTCGTTCGTTTAGTGATACACGTAATTCCTGTGTCCCCCTAGAAAACAATTACAAACGTTATATATATACGTAAAACTTATTAGAATCCCAAATGCTCGTAAATTGATATTCGTGTAAAACACTTACTGAGACGCTGATAGTTAAGGGAATAGAATAATATCATGCCTCCGGCACACAATTGCCAAATTGGTGCCATGTTCGCCTTGCGTGGGTGAATGTACTTCATTTGCCAGCGCCAGAATGCTGTAATTCCATTATAGAAATTATTGAAAATGTCTTAGTTCAATTCAATAACAGTAAAAGACGTAGTTACTCGCGTCTTCTTAATGGAAATGAAATTTAATATGATTTCGACGAACCTCTGGAGCATAATCCTAAGAACTGTCGTGGTCCTTTCTCTCGTCTAGAAATCCAAGCTGGGAGTTCTCCCAGTTTCACTTCTCCGAAGGGAGTATCAGCTAAAAATAAATATTATACCTCCATAATTAGTTCGTTAATGTTCAAACTCTTATATGAAATGACTGGATTAAAGAATCATTGCATAAAATGCATTAACTTTTATTTTACAGTTGAAGAGAGTATTTCTCTCGTCATTTCTGTTCTCTGATCCTAGTGGATGGAATAATACATTTCAGAATTTCTCCAAATTGTTCCATCGGTTATTTATATTAGCAAAAATTCATGAACTGTGCTCAGATTTGAAGGGATATCTCTTAGTACAACGGGTTTCAATATCTTTAGGATTTAATTTCTCCTGTTCCAGCGAATGGATTTTAATGAAAAAATTCAGAGATCCACTACTATACTACTAATACATTTCAGAATTTTTCCAAATCATTCCATTGATTATTTATATTGGAAAGAATTCATGAATGTTGCTTAGACTTGAGGCTGGGGGGGGGGTACCTCTTATGACTACAATTTTCAATATCTTTGGTATTTAATTTCTCCTGTTCTAATAGATATATTTTAATAGAACAATACAGAGATCCACTACTATACTAGTAATAAATTTCACAATTTCCTCAAATCATTCCATCAATCATATATATTAAAAAAAAATTTACAAACTTTGATGAAAATAAATTTCGAGTGAAAAGAAGTTCAGTCCATAAAATGATTTAACTACAGAATTAACAAACAATTCTACCATAAATCGATAAAACCACGTAATTAATTAAATAATTAACCATTAAATTAATCAACCATAAAAGTTTACGTTTTCCATAATATCTCGATGGGTCGTAGGGTCCGTGTCTGGCGGGGTCGTATCCCTCCGGATAATTCCCGAATTTCTTCAAATCAATCAAATTCTTCAGATTCTCCATAATTACGAACGAATTAATCGAGAACTGGGTGACCTCTCAGCACTCGGCCTCGGCCACAGTCAGTAGTTAGGTAACAATCCTAGAGATTATCTCTGGTCTTAGTGTACCCAACATTCATTCAGAAAGTCTCTAGCAATTCCTTTTTCATTTTCCTTGGGTTGGTACTAACGAAATGGCGTCAGGTCAGGAGGGAAAGTGGCAGTGACAGTGTATTTACATCGTTTAAATTAATTACATTTATTCAGTTTATATTCTACTTTGAATATTCTATCAGGTCGCACATTGTTCCTTAAATCCTACTGGTTAAGTCTCTAAGGGTTAGATAGATCGTGTAAAAATGTAAATAATTCTTTGTAATTATTGTTTAAATCCAAAATCGAATCTCTTTNTGAAAATAAATTTCGAGTGAAAAGAAGTTCAGTCCATAAAATGATTTAACTACAGAATTAACAAACAATTCTACCATAAATCGATAAAACCACGTAATTAATTAAATAATTAACCATTAAATTAATCAACCATAAAAGTTTACGTTTTCCATAATATCTCGATGGGTCGTAGGGTCCGTGTCTGGCGGGGTCGTATCCCTCCGGATAATTCCCGAATTTCTTCAAATCAATCAAATTCTTCAGATTCTCCATAATTACGAACGAATTAATCGAGAACTGGGTGACCTCTCAGCACTCGGCCTCGGCCACAGTCAGTAGTTAGGTAACAATCCTAGAGATTATCTCTGGTCTTAGTGTACCCAACATTCATTCAGAAAGTCTCTAGCAATTCCTTTTTCATTTTCCTTGGGTTGGTACTAACGAAATGGCGTCAGGTCAGGAGGGAAAGTGGCAGTGACAGTGTATTTACATCGTTTAAATTAATTACATTTATTCAGTTTATATTCTACTTTGAATATTCTATCAGGTCGCACATTGTTCCTTAAATCCTACTGGTTAAGTCTCTAAGGGTTAGATAGATCGTGTAAAAATGTAAATAATTCTTTGTAATTATTGTTTAAATCCAAAATCGAATCTCTTTCTTTAATCTTTTTTCCAAGAAGTAACAATCTGTACTAATCAAACAGGCAAAGAATAAAAGAATTCTTTATACATGTGTATAAAACGTGGTGAAGTTTTCTAGAACAAAATTTTATATTCCTATGATTTTCTTCGTCTTCGTTTTCTATTTGTTATCCATTAGAATGCGAGACTCTCCGTATACCTTAGTATACTGACATAAATATACACTTTGCAATGCCTTATTAATCCATTTGTATCGTAGGCTCATTTATGCGCAGAAATTTCCGGGCCATTATCACCGAAGTGCACATTGATGCGCGTTTTTGGTGACATGAACTAATTTTCCACTTTTCCGAATAGAATGATCAGAAATCAGACGGGACGGGAGATGCATATCGATACACTGTTTCATCGATACGTCAACGAGGTACAAACATAACCAACTCCCTCCCTAATGCAATATTTCTGTTCGATCTACATTTTAATCGTGATCTTTTCGGGTAACGAGGTAAGCCTCGAGTTTCTACATGTCAAGGCGTTATTCGTTAATTGAAAAAACAAACAACGAAGGGGAGAGCGTTTGTACGATGCGTGGCGAGATTATTAGAGGACGAATTGGTCCACCTATCCCGTAGGCTGGACGGTTTTGAGTGCCTCAAGCTGGTCGAGGCTGTTTACGAAGTAACGCCGTCCAAATCGAAGAGGAATGGGGTAATAACGATAGGGGGACGGAATCGAATCGCGACGATAAGGGAGTGTCTAACGAATCTCGAACGATGGAACGATGATTTTCCAAGTACGTTAACTGATTCTGATTCCGTTTCTATAAATGCTGTAAGAGTATGTATATATTTGTGTATATGTACGCTGTATAAATGAACGATGGATATCGCATATCAAATATGTGATTTTCGTATGCTGTTTTATAAAGGAGAGCTACCTGCCCGTTTATAAATTAATAAGTAAATAAATAAATAAATACCTACGAGTCCGACATAACTGTGAGACAAATCACAGACAATGGTAGCCCGAATGGAAGAGCGACGATGGAGATGACGTTGAGATGGTTAGGTAGACCGGATCTCGCGAGCTACATCAGGACTAACTCATACCATCTCGAGGATTCGTTACGATTTCGGAGACACGCATTGCAAAACGGAGAGAACAAGGATAAAAATAATAATATTAAAAAGAAGATGAAGAGAAAGAAAACGAATGATCGTTTAAAGAGTAAAAAGCCAAGGAAGGCGTAAGTGTCTCCTCGTGGAAGTCTACCAGTTCCTCGATTACTTCAATCGATTTCAGCCAGAATAAGCACCATATGAAGAAGAAGGAGAACGAAAGAGGACGCGGTAGGTCGACGGTCTGCTGCGCAATACTCGTCGTCTTCCTCTTCATAGCAATGTTGCTCACCGCTGTTTACTTCTACCGGAGGAGGAACCGTTCGAAGCGCACGCGATTCAAGTAATCATCGAAAAACTGATAGAGGCTCTCGGTCGAGGAACGAATTACGGATGTTCGAAGGTACGCTCGGTCGGTATCTGGGCGGAAGGAGGACAAGGACACGTTTACCGATCATTTTCCCGACGAGACGTGCCAGTGCTCGGATGTCGAGGGAGGCTGCACGGTAGACAAATGCGACGCCTGCGATTCCGAGAGATCGTTCGCCCGTACGAAAAAGAGAAGAAGTAAGAGGACGAAGATCGAGAGGAAAGGCAAGGGGCTGGGATCGATGCTTCGGAGGAGCTTGTTCTTCGGGAAGAGGGAAAAAGATCAGGAAAATTTAGACAGGAAGTACGAAAGGAATATTTAACGATCGTGTACGATTTAACTGTTTCTATTCCCCAGGAGGAACAGTTTGGAGATCGATAGGAAGCGAGGGAAGTATCTGTCGAAAGAACAGTGCGCCTGTTGCAGATGCGTTCTCGACTCTCGAGGTACGCATCGTTCCATCGCTTTAACAGTCAGTGTCTCAGGATAGAGAAAAGATCGTCCATCCTGGGACGCTACTCTGCACACACGTTTGAATACGTATTCGATCGTCGCTTGCTAATAGATAAAATGTTGCGGGAGAAGTACGGCGAGAAACGAGCATTCGACAGATGGAAGAGGAGGAAGGCCAGGAGAAATAAGAAAAGGTTGTTGGACAAACGTGCGAACGTCTGTTTCGAGTCCACGTGCAATTAGGTATCAATAAAATAGGATTCGGTACCTCGAATACAGTTTATTATCGAATCGTTCGAGATATATCAGGGTATACATATAGATATGTATAAAATGAATTTCTCTCTTTCTCTCTCTCTCTCTCTCTCTCTCTCTCTCTCTCTCCCTTTCTCTCTTATAAATATCTCATCGTAAATCTTGTAGTCCGTCGAACTCGCGTTAATCGCGTAACGAAACGATTTTCAATAGAAAAATAGTTCTCCCGTAAGTTCGACGATGCTGAATACGAAAATTCTATCACAGTTCACACTTGTCTCCTTCAGTATTTGGTCGACCTCGAAATCCGTGAGGCGAAGCGAGGCGAGGCTTAACGTTTGCAAATTATTATTATATACCGGTTATACGGTTTTTGGCATCTCCCTCTTCCTCCGCCGGTTAGCCTTGGACGGATCTCCAGAGGTCGGCCTTGGACGGATCGGTTTTTTTAATTCCGGAATCTCGGTCACGGTAGCTTCCGCTCCTCGAGGTCCTCGTGCAGCAGGCTGTTGTTGTTCGCTTCGTGGACGGATCGAGGCGACAAGGAGGCCTCTTCCGGCTGCTCGCCGCCGCTCAATTCCAACTGACCCGTGCTACTCGCGCTGTCACCGCTGCTCGAACCGCATTCGCCGTCCACGAACCTGTCGTTTCGAACATCGATCAATTTTTATTCAAATGACGGACAGAAGTATTTAACCAAATTCTCTACTACGAGCCTCTGCTCGAACGATGGCAGATCTCTGAACTTCTTGTACATCGGAATCAGAGAGAGAAATAAAATAAATGCAGGAATCAAGCTACAATTAATTAATTGAATAATTGATTGATCGATCAATAGGTTCGATGAATTAAATGAACCAAGAGAAACGATGGTAAAAAATAGTGCAGCGCGGTGTTAGGATCGTTGGCAATTGCAGTTTGAGCTAATCAAACGAACCGAGATTAACAAGTTCACGGCCGTCTGAACTTCTCAAACATTTATCGCAACGGCAGAAAAATATGTTTCGTATCTTCGATCCTTCGAGGTTGAACGATTATTTTCAACCCGGGACTATCGTAACGCTCGATCCATCGTTTATTCGTCGACATAATAATTAATCGAGCACGATTACGTATTTACTTATTAAATGAATGTACCATGGAGGATCGATCGGTAAGTTTTGCAGGTTTACGCGTTTTTAGGATACTTACGTATAGGGTTGCTCTTCGCCTCTCATCTCGCATATCACGTTGGTTAAAGCCATTATGTAGTTCTTCGCCAACGTTAAGGTCTCGATTTTACTCAGCTTCCTCTCCATCTTCACGTGGGGGATAACTTCGCGCAGTTGCTGGAAAACAATCGTCGATCAATCGTACCTCCGCCGTAATACATTCGTACATTCTTCAGGAATTATAATTATAATATGACTGCGTTAAGCATTCCATGGTGTAGAGATGATCGTTAGAAAGGTTTGATTCAAATATTTTCAACCCTTAGGAATCGGTTAATTAAAACTTACTAAAGGGAGTCCATTAGAGTAGAGACTTCAGGCTTTAAATAAATCTAAATCGGTTCATTTTCAACGAAATTATGAACAATTGAAGTGATACGATTTGTTTCATTGACATAGGTGAGTATTCGGAATCGTTATTTATTTTTAAGATCGTTAGATTTTAAGGTAGCTCGCTATTTGGGTAACGTATCAAGAGCAGGCCCTACAATGGGCTTCTTTTAAAATAAGAATATGAAGTGAAAATTTCATTATTAAATGTACATTATTTCCACATTCATATATTTTAATGTTATTTTATAAAAAAAAAGTTTAAACAAAGTAGAATAAACAATTTTTTATTTACGATGGGGCAATGATGTGATGATAAAAGTATTATTCATTGGCTTTGATCATTATTATTTCGTTCTTTTCCACGGAAACCTATATTTTTCTTTACATCATCGCATTCCCCGTAAAAAAATCTATAACCATCTATTTTTTTATTGAAAACGTATATGATATGAAATCGCACGAGGCATTTATACAAAAGTTTCCATAAGCTCCCGTGTTAAAAATAAGAATTTTCTAATGCATTTTTTTAAACAATTTTCACGGAAACCCTATATTTTCTTTACGGAAAATGAAAGTTCGAAACTTTAACTATTGTTTAGTTTAACTTGTATTAAAATCGTATATGTCTTGCAAATGCTATCGAGCAACATACCTTAAGCATTTCCTATTCCTGTCTATCCCATATTTCCAGTCCCTATTATGTACAGAAAACAGGGACTTAAGGAAATGCTTAAATTTTAAAAATAAGTAACGACTCTGAATACCGGCCATAGTCACAGTGGAAGAAAGAATAGTAGGTACATTATGTCAAACGATGTACATACTAATAATAGATCTCTGATAATAATAATAATGGGCTGTTGCGCATGAAAAAATCACTTAACCAGCAACATGGCGACGTAATTGAATGTCCGTGACTTTACTTATACATAAAAATATTTATAATTAAAGAAGAAAGAAAGTTAGGATGAGAAATACGTGGTCACCGTTTTTTTATAAATAGACAGTTTTCCAGACTTTTATTTTAAATAATAAATTTAATAATAATAATAATAATAATAAGTAATAAATATTTAATTTCCAAGTAATAAATACTTAATTTCATTGGCAATTACATAAAATACAATTAAATAAAAATACTGGAACTTTCAATCTCGTCATAATTCGCCTTTAGAAATTAGAAGAAGTCTTTTTAATTGTATCGATCATAATCTGTATAATTATGATACCAATTGCAATTGAGTCTGTTTAATCCGACGATCTAGTAATGTATGAGATTGGAGGTTTATCTTTTAAATTAGAGCCCGCGCATAACTAACAACATGGCGAATCTGTTGGTTATGAGATCATAGAAGCCGACACCGAGAGTGAGTCTATTGTTCTTTCTTATACTGTAATACAGTGCTCTTCAGTGCCCATAGTCTCGGATGAATAAAAATTTATTTTTATAACACTTGCCTAAAAAAGACCACTTTCGGCACCTATAAAGTGGACCAAAAAAGAGTTTTCTGGCCCTAGAGCCGAAAAATTTAGGCCCTAGGGCCGTAAAATGCTATTGTTAGTCCGCTATATGTATAGACGCGAGAGACTATATCCTCGATTCACTTTGTAGACGACGAAAAATGGTCTTCTTTATGCTCTTTTTATAAAAAATACGGCGCACACTACAAGCTAAATGGGCTTTTTCAGACCCGAATGATGATTTGAGCAACTCGTGTTCGTCCGTGGGCTTGCGAGACGAACACGAGTTGCTCAAATCATTATTCGGGTCTGGAAAAGTCCATTTTCGGCTCTTGGTGTACAATGTAGTAATACATACTTATGTATGTTTATTTCAAAGAAAGAAATTATACTGAAAATTTTTGCTCACTAGTTATTCATTTTAGATTCATTTATAATACGAATTAGTAAATAACAGTAGTTTATATTGATATGCACACTTGAAAAATACGTTGTTACTATAAATATCAGAGGCTTTCAGTTTCCACATGAATAGCCTTAAGCCACAGTCAGTTGACGCTTTTCAACAGATTAGAAAAGAAATACTTGGAACAATTCTACATCTAATCATTTTACATATCTCTGTTATTTTATTTACGTTGTATACAATTTGCTGGGGAAAAGACTAGTTCGAGCTGTTCGAGACTATTCAAGTGAATAGCACTGTAAAATCTTTTTCATAACACGAGGCCGAAAAATACCACTTTCGGCGCCTATAAAGTGGACCGAAAATAGAGTTACAGTCAGAGTTAGAGGTAAAATTGAGCTACCACCCGGCGTAAGCTCGATTTTACCGCCCTAGGACGGGAAAACTCTATTTTCAATCCGCTTCGTAGGCGACGAAAGATGGTCTTTTTTATGCCCTTTTTATGAAAAATATTGTGTGCGACACGGGTCGAATGGACCTTTCCAGGCTCGGATGATGTTCTGAGCAGCTCGTGTTCATCTCGGGCGCCTGTAGCACCACAATAGTACTTTGTGCACCAAGGGCCGAAAATGGATCTTTCCGGGCGAGGTTGATGTTTGAGCACGAGTGGAAGTCGAGGGCGCCACAGGCGCCCGAGATGAACACGAGCTGCTCAGAACATCATCCGAGCCTGGAAAGGTCCATTCGACCCGTGTCGCACACAATATTTTTCATAAAAAGGGCATAAAAAAGACCATCTTTCGTCGCCTACGAAGCGGATTGAAAATAG